TTACTTAGCGGAGAAGTTCCTTGCTATCAATCATGATGTTTTCAACCGCTGTGCTTAATCCGAAATAACCTTCTCAAGAAATGAAAATTCGACCACAGTGGGTTTCGAACTCCCAATTTTTTTATTCGAAGTCAGACGCCTTATCCGTTAGGCCATGCTGCCGTTGGAAGGTTTTCGAAATGGGTAGATTTAAAAAGCTCTGGATGCCGTTGTTTTACTGCTAAGATGAGCAAATTTTTGGGAAAATTTAGTTAGCGCAGAAGTATTTTGCTGTCAATCATGATGTTTTTATCTGGTGTGCATAATCGGAAAATACCTTCTCAAAAAATGAAAATTCGACCACAGAGGGATTCGAACCCCCAATCTTCTGATTCGAAGTCAGACGCCTTATCCGTTAGGCCATGCGGCCGTTGGAAGGTTTTCGAAATGGGTAGATTTAAAATGCTCTGGCTGTTGTTGTTTTACTGCTTGCATGAGCAAATTTTTCTGAAATATTAGCTAGCGGAGAAGTTCCTTGCTGTCAATCATTATGTTTTATCTGCTGCGCGTTATCTGAATTTACCTTCTCAAAAAATGAAAAGTCGACCACAGAGGGATTCGAAACCCAATCTTCTGATTCGAAGTTAGACGCCTTATCCGTTAGGCCATGCGGCCGCTGAAAGGTTTTCAAAATGGGTAGATTTAATATGCTCTGGATGCCGTTGTCTTACTGCTAAGATGAGCAAATTTTTGGGAAAATTTAGTTAGCGCAGAAGTTTTTTGCTGTCAATCATGATGTTTTTATCTGGTGTGCATAATCGGAAATTACCTTCTCAAAAAATGAAAAGTCGACCACAGAGGGATTCGAAACCCAATCTTCTGATTTGAAGTTAGACGCCTTATCCGTTAGGCCATGCGGCCGCTGAAAGGTTTTCAAAATGGGTAGATTTAATATGCTCTGGATGCCGTTGTCTTACTGCTAAGATGAGCAAATTTTTGGGAAAATTTAGTTGGCGCAGAAGTTTTTTGCTGTCAATCATGATGTTTTTATCTGGTGTGCATAATCGGAAATTACCTTCTCAAAAAATGAAAATTCGACCACAGAGGGATTGGAACCTCCAATCTTCTGATTCGAAGTCAGACGCCTTATCCGTTAAGCCATTCGGCCATTGAAAGGTTTCGAAATGGGTAGATTTAAACTGCTCTGGCTGCCGTTGTTTTACTGCTAAAATGAGCAAATTTTTTTGAAATATTACTTAGCGGAGAAGTTCCTTGCTATCAATCATGATGTTTTCAACCGCTGTGCCTAATCCGAAATAACCTTCTCAAGAAATGAAAATTCGACCACAGTGGGTTTCGAACTCCCAATTTTTTTATTCGAAGTCAGACGCCTTATCCGTTAGGCCATGCTGCCGTTGGAAGGTTTGCGAAATGGGTAGATTTAAAAAGCTCTGGATGCCGTTGTTTTACTGCTAAGATGAGCAAATTTTTGGGAAAATTTAGTTAGCGCAGAAATATTTTGCTGTCAATCATGTTTTTATCTGGTGTGCATAATCGGAAAATACGTTCTCAAAAAATGAAAATTCGACCACAGAGGGATTCGAACCCCCAATCTTCTGATTTGTAGTCAGACGCCTTATCCGTTAGGCCATGAGGCGATTGAAAGGTTTTCGAAATGGGTAGATTTAAAATGCTCTGGCTGTTGTTGTTTTACTGCTTGCATGAGCAATTTTTTCTGAAATATTAGCTAGCGGAGAAGTTCCTTGCTGTCAATCATTATGTTTTATCTGCTGCGCGTTATCTGAACTTACCTTCTCAAAAAATGAAAAGTCGACCACAGAGGGATTCGAAACCCAATTTTCTGATTCGAAGTTAGACGCCTTATCTGTTAGGCCGTGCGGCCGTTGAAATGTTTTTCAAAATGGGTAGATTTAAGATGCTCTGGATGCCGTTGTTTTACTGCTAAGATGAGCAAATTTTTGTTAAAATTTAGTTAGCGCAGAAGTATTTTGCTGTCAATCATGATGTTTTTATCTGGTGTGCATAATCGGAAATTACCTTCTCAAAAAATGAAAATTCGACCAAAGAGGGATTGGAACCTCCAATCTTCTGATTCGAAGTCAGACGCCTTATCCGTTAAGCCATTTGGCCATTGAAATGTTTCGAAATGGGTAGACTTAAAATGCTCTGGCTGCCGTTGTTTTACTGCTAAGATGAGCAAATTTTTTTGAAAAATTACGTAGCGGAGAAGTTCCTTGCTATCAATCATGATGATTTAACCGCTGTGCCTAATCCGAAATAACCTTCTCAAGAAATGAAAATTCGACCACAGTGGGTTTCGAACTCCCAATTTTTTTATTCGAAGTCAGACGCCTTATCCGTTAGGCCATGCGACTGTTGGAAAGTGTCGAAATGTGTAGATTTGAAATGCTCAAGATGGCGTTGTTTTCCTTCTTGGATGAGCAAATTTTTCTGAAACATTAGCTAGCGGAGAAGTTCCTTGCTGTCAATCACTATTTTTTATCTACTGTGCGTTATCTGAATTTATCTTTTCAAAAAATGAAAAGTCGACCACAGAGGGATTCGAACTCCGATTCTGCCGTTTCGAAGTCAGACGCCTTATCCGTTAAGCCATGCGGCCGTTAGGTTTTCGAAATGGGTAGATTTAAAATGCTCTGGATGCCGTTGTTGTCCTGCTTAGATGAGCAAATTTTTCTGAAACATTAGCTAGCGGAGAAGTTCCTTGCTGTCAATCATTATGTTTCATCTGCTGTGCCGTATCTGAATTTACCTTCTCAAAAAATGAAAAGTCGACCACAGAGGGATTCGAAACCCAATTTTCTGATTCGAAGTTAGACGCCTTATCTGTTAGGCCGTGCGGCCGTTGAAATGTTTTTCAAAATGGGTAGATTTAAGATGCTCTGGATGCCGTTGTTTTACTGCTAAGATGAGCAAATTTTTGTTAAAATTTAGTTAGCGCAGAAGTATTTTGCTGTCAATCATGATGTTTTTATCTGGTGTGCATAATCGGAAATTACCTTCTCAAAAAATGAAAATTCGACCAAAGAGGGATTGGAACCTCCAATCTTCTGATTCGAAGTCAGACGCCTTATCCGTTAAGCCATTTGGCCATTGAAATGTTTCGAAATGGGTAGACTTAAAATGCTCTGGCTGCCGTTGTTTTACTGCTAAGATGAGCAAATTTTTTTGAAAAATTACGTAGCGGAGAAGTTCCTTGCTATCAATCATGATGATTTAACCGCTGTGCCTAATCCGAAATAACCTTCTCAAGAAATGAAAATTCGACCACAGTGGGTTTCGAACTCCCAATTTTTTTATTCGAAGTCAGACGCCTTATCCGTTAGGCCATGCGACTGTTGGAAAGTGTCGAAATGTGTAGATTTGAAATGCTCAAGATGGCGTTGTTTTCCTTCTTGGATGAGCAAATTTTTCTGAAACATTAGCTAGCGGAGAAGTTCCTTGCTGTCAATCACTATTTTTTATCTACTGTGCGTTATCTGAATTTATCTTTTCAAAAAATGAAAAGTCGACCACAGAGGGATTCGAACTCCGATTCTGCCGTTTCGAAGTCAGACGCCTTATCCGTTAAGCCATGCGGCCGTTAGGTTTTCGAAATGGGTAGATTTAAAATGCTCTGGATGCCGTGTTTTACTGCTAAGATGAGCAAATTTTTGGAAAAATTTAGTTGGCGCAGAAGTTTTTTGCTGTCAATCATGATGTTTTTATCTGGTGTGCATAATCGGAAATTACCTCCTCAAAAAATGAAAATTCGACCACAGAGGGATTCGAACCCCCAATCTTCTGATTCGAAGTCAGACGCCTTATCCGTTACGCCATGCGGCCTTTGAAAGGTTTTCGAAATGGGTAGATTTAAACTGTTCTGGCTTCCATTGTTTTACTGCTTGGATGAGCAAATTTTTCTGAAACATTAGCTAGCGGAGAAGTTCCTTGCTGTCAATCATTATGTTTTATCTGCTGTGCGTTATCTGAATTTATCTTCTCAAAAAAATGAAAAGTCGACCACAGAGGGATTCGAACCACAAATCTTCTGATTCGAAGTCAGACGCCTTATCCGTTAGGCCATGCGACCGTTGGAAGGTTTTCGAAATGGGTAGATTTAAAATGCTCTGGATGCCGTTGTTTTACTGCTAAGATGAGCAAATTTTCGGGAAAATTTTGTTAGCGCAGAAGTTTTTTGCTGTCAATCATGATGTTTTTATCTGTTGTGCATAATCGGAAATTACCTTCTCAAAAAATAAAAAAATTGACCACAGAGGGAGTCGAACCCCCAATCTTCTGATTCGAAGTCAGACGCCTTATCCGTTAATCCATTGGGCCATTGAAATGTTTTCGAAATGGGTAGATTTAAAACGCTCTGGCTGCCGTTGTTTTACTGCTAAGATGAGCAAATTTTTTTGAAAAATTACTTAGCGGAGAAGTTCCTTGCTGTCAATCATGATGTTTTTATCTGCTCTGCATATTCCGAAATTACCTTGTCAAAAATTGAAAAGTGGACCACAGAGGGATTCCAACCCCCAATCTTCTGATTCGAAGTCAGACGACTTATCCGTAAGGCCATGCGGCCGTTGGGAGGTTTTCGAAATGTGTAGATTTGAAATGCTCAAGATGCCGTTGTTGTCCTGCTTAGATGAGCAAATTTTTCTGAAACATTAGCTAGCGGAGAAGTTCCTTGCTGTCAATCATTATGTTTCATCTGCTGTGCCGTATCTGAATTTACCTTCTCAACAAATGAAAAGTCGACCACAAGGGATTCGAAGCCCCAATCTTCTGATTCGAAGTCAGACGCCTTATCCGTTAGGCCATGCGGCCGTTGGAAGCTTTTCGAAATGGGTAGATTTAAAATGCTCTGGATGCCGTTGTTTTACTGCTAAGATGAGCAAATTTTTGGGAAAATTTAGCGCTGTAGTTTTTTGCTGTCAATCATGATGTTCTTATCTGGTGTGCATAATCGGAAATTACCTTCTCAAAAAATGAAAAGTCGACCACAGAGGGATTCGAACCCCCAAACTTCTGATTCGAAGTCAGACGCCTTATCCATTAGGCCATGCGGCCAATGCAAGTATTTCGAAATGGGTAGATTTAAAATGCTCTGGCTGCCGTTGTTTTACTGCTTGCATGAGTAAATTTTTCTGAAACATTAGCTAGCGGAGAAGTTCCTTGCTGTCAATCATTATGTTTTATCTGCTGTGCGTTATCTGAATTTACCTTCTCAAAAAATGAAAAGTCGACCACAGAGGGATTCGAACCCCCAATCTTCTGATTCGAAGTCAGACGCCTTATCCGTTAGGCCATGCGGCCGTTGGAAGCTTTTCGAAATGGGTAGATTTAAAATGCTCTGGATGCCGTTGTTTTACTGCTAAGATGAGCAAATTTTTGGGAAAATTTAGCGCTGTAGTTTTTTGCTGTCAATCATGATGTTCTTATCTGGTGTGCATAATCGGAAATTACCTTCTCAAAAAATGAAAAGTCGACCACAGAGGGATTCGAACCCCCAAACTTCTGATTCGAAGTCAGACGCCTTATCCATTAGGCCATGCGGCCATTGCAAGTATTTCGAAATGGGTAGATTTAAAATGCTCTGGCTGCCGTTGTTTTACTGCTTGCATGAGTAATTTTTTTTCTGAAACATTAGCTAGCGGAGAAGTTCCTTGCTGTCAATCATTATGTTTTATGTGCTGTGCGTTATCTGAATTTACCTTCTCAAAAAATGAAAAGTCGACCACAGAGGGATTCGAACCCCCAATCTTCTGATTCGAAGTCAGACGCCTTATCCGTTAGGCCATGCGGCCGTTGGAAGGGTTTTAAAATGGGTAGATTTAAAATGCTCTGGATGCCGTTGTTTTACTGCTAAGATGAGCAATACTTTGGGAAAATTTAGTTAGCGCAGAAGTTTTTTGCTGTCAATCATGATGTTTTTATCTGTTGTGCATAATCGGAAATTACCTTCTCAAAAAATAAAAAAATTGACCACAGAGGTAGTCGAACCCCCAATCTTCTGATTCGAAGTCAGACGCCTTATCCGTTAGCCCATTCGGCCATTGAAATGGTTTCGAAATGGGTAGATTTAAAACGCTCTGGCTGCCGTTGTTTTACTGCTAAGATGAGCAAATTTTTTTGAAAAATTACTTAGCGGAGAAGTTCCTTGCTGTCAATCATGATGTTTTTATCTGCTCTGCATATTCCGAATTTACCTTGTCAAAAAATGAAAAGTGGACCACAGAGGGATTCGAACCCCCAATCTTCTGATGTAAGGCCATGCGGCCGTTGGGAGGTTTTCGAAATGTGTAGATTTGAAATGCTCAAGATGCCGTTGTTGTCCTGCTTAGATGAGCAAATTTTTCTGAAACATTAGCTAGCGGAGAAGTTCCTTGCTGTCAATCATTATGTTTCATCTGCTGTGCCGTATCTGAATTTACCTTCTCAACAATTGAAAAGTCGACCACAAGGGATTCGTAGCCCCAATCTTCTGATTCGAAGTCAGACGCCTTATCCGTTAGGCCATGCGGCCGTTGGAAGCTTTTCGAAATGGGTAGATTTAAAATGCTCTGGATGCCGTTGTTTCACTGCTAAGATGAGCAAATTTTTGGGAAAATTTAGCGCTGTAGTTTTTTGCTGTCAATAATGATGTTCTTATCTGGTGTGCATAATCGGAAATTACCTTCTCAAAAAATGAAAAGTCGACCACAGAGGGCTTCGAACCCCCAAACTTCTGATTCGAAGTCAGACGCCTTATCCATTAGGCCATGCGGCCAATGCAAGTATTTCGAAATGGGTAGATTTAAAATGCTCTGGCTGCCATTGTTTTACTGCTTGCATGAGTAAATTTTTCTGAAACATTAGCTAGCGGAGAAGTTCCTTGCTGTCAATCATTATGTTTTATCTGCTGTGCGTTATCTGAATTTACCTTCTCAAAAAATGAAAAGTCGACCACAGAGGGATTCGAACCCCCAATCTTCTGATTCGAAGTTAGACGCCTTATCCGTTAGGCCATGCGGCCGTTGGAAGCCTTTCGAAATGGGTAGATTTAAAATGCTCTGGATGCCGTTGTTTTACTGCTAAGATGAGCAAATTTTTGGAAAAAATTAGTTGGCGCAGAAGTTTTTTGCTGTCAATCATGATGTTTTTATCTGGTGTGCATAATCGGAAATTACCTCCTCAAAAAATGAAAATTCGACCACAGAGGGATTCGAACCCCCAATCTTCTGATTCGAAGTCAGACGCCTTATCCGTTACGCCATGCGGCCTTTGAAAGGTTTTCGAAATGGGTAGATTTAAACTGTTCTGGCTTCCGTTGTTTTACTGCTTGGATGAGCAAATTTTTCTGAAACATTAGCTAGCGGAGAAGTTCCTTGCTGTCAATCATTATGTTTTATCTGCTGTGCGTTATCTGAATTTATCTTCTCAAAAAAATGAAAAGTCGACCACAGAGGGATTCGAACCACAAATCTTCTGATTCGAAGTCAGACGCCTTATCCGTTAGGCCATGCGACCGTTGGAAGGTTTTCGAAATGGGTAGATTTAAAATGCTCTGGATGCCGTTGTTTTACTGCTAAGATGAGCAAATTTTCGGGAAAATTTTGTTAGCGCAGAAGTTTTTTGCTGTCAATCATGATGTTTTTATCTGTTGTGCATAATCGGAAATTACCTTCTCAAAAAATAAAAAAATTGACCACAGAGGGAGTCGAACCCCCAATCTTCTGATTCGAAGTCAGACGCCTTATCCGTTAATCCATTGGGCCATTGAAATGTTTTCGAAATGGGTAGATTTAAAACGCTCTGGCTGCCGTTGTTTTACTGCTAAGATGAGCAAATTTTTTTGAAAAATTACTTAGCGGAGAAGTTCCTTGCTGTCAATCATGATATGATGTTTTTATCTGCTCTGCATATTCCGAAATTACCTTGTCAAAAATTGAAAAGTGGACCACAGAGGGATTCGAACCCCCAATCTTCTGATTCGAAGTCAGACGACTTATCCGTAAGGCCATGCGGCCGTTGGGAGGTTTTCGAAATGTGTAGATTTGAAATGCTCAAGATGCCGTTGTTGTCCTGCTTAGATGAGCAAATTTTTCTGAAACATTAGCTAGCGGAGAAGTTCCTTGCTGTCAATCATTATGTTTCATCTGCTGTGCCGTATCTGAATTTACCTTCTCAACAAATGAAAAGTCGACCACAAGGGATTCGAAGCCCCAATCTTCTGATTCGAAGTCAGACGCCTTATCCGTTAGGCCATGCGGCCGTTGGAAGCTTTTCGAAATGGGTAGATTTAAAATGCTCTGGATGCCGTTGTTTTACTGCTAAGATGAGCAAATTTTTGGGAAAATTTAGCGCTGTAGTTTTTTGCTGTCAATCATGATGTTCTTATCTGGTGTGCATAATCGGAAATTACCTTCTCAAAAAATGAAAAGTCGACCACAGAGGGATTCGAACCCCCAAACTTCTGATTCGAAGTCAGACGCCTTATCCATTAGGCCATGCGGCCAATGCAAGTATTTCGAAATGGGTAGATTTAAAATGCTCTGGCTGCCGTTGTTTTACTGCTTGCATGAGTAAATTTTTCTGAAACATTAGCTAGCGGAGAAGTTCCTTGCTGTCAATCATTATGTTTTATCTGCTGTGCGTTATCTGAGTTTACCTTCTCAAAAAATGAAAAGTCGACCACAGAGGGATTCGAACCCCCAATCTTCTGATTCGAAGTCAGAAGCCTTATCCGTTAGGCCATGCGGCCGTTGGAAGCTTTTCGAAATGGGTAGATTTAAAATGCTCTGGATGCCGTTGTTTTACTGCTAAGATGAGCAAATTTTTGGGAAAATTTAGCGCTGTAGTTTTTTGCTGTCAATCATGATGTTCTTATCTGGTGTGCATAATCGGAAATTACCTTCTCAAAAAATGAAAAGTCGACCACAGAGGGATTCGAACCCCCAAACTTCTGATTCGAAGTCAGACGCCTTATCCATTAGGCCATGCGGCCATTGCAAGTATTTCGAAATGGGTAGATTTAAAATGCTCTGGCTGCCGTTGTTTTACTGCTTGCATGAGTAAATTTTTTTCTGAAACATTAGCTAGCGGAGAAGTTCCTTGCTGTCAATCATTATGTTTTATGTGCTGTGCGTTATCTGAATTTACCTTCTCAAAAAATGAAAAGTCGACCACAGAGGGATTCGAACCCCCAATCTTCTGATTCGAAGTCAGACGCCTTATCCGTTAGGCCATGCGGCCGTTGGAAGGGTTTTAAAATGGGTAGATTTAAAATGCTCTGGATGCCGTTGTTTTACTGCTAAGATGAGCAATACTTTGGGAAAATTTAGTTAGCGCAGAAGTTTTTTGCTGTCAATCATGATGTTTTTATCTGTTGTGCATAATCGGAAATTACCTTCTCAAAAAATAAAAAAATTGACCACAGAGGTAGTCGAACCCCCAATCTTCTGATTCGAAGTCAGACGCCTTATCCGTTAGCCCATTCGGCCATTGAAATGGTTTGGAAATGGGTAGATTTAAAACGCTCTGGCTGCCGTTGTTTTACTGCTAAGATGAGCAAATTTTTTTGAAAAATTACTTAGCGGAGAAGTTCCTTGCTGTCAATCATGATGTTTTTATCTGCTCTGCATATTCCGAATTTACCTTGTCAAAAAATGAAAAGTGGACCACAGAGGGATTCGAACCCCCAATCTTCTGATGTAAGGCCATGCGGCCGTTGGGAGGTTTTCGAAATGTGTAGATTTGAAATGCTCAAGATGCCGTTGTTGTCCTGCTTAGATGAGCAAATTTTTCTGAAACATTAGCTAGCGGAGAAGTTCCTTGCTGTCAATCATTATGTTTCATCTGCTGTGCCGTATCTGAATTTACCTTCTCAACAATTGAAAAGTCGACCACAAGGGATTCGTAGCCCCAATCTTCTGATTCGAAGTCAGACGCCTTATCCGTTAGGCCATGCGGCCGTTGGAAGCTTTTCGAAATGGGTAGATTTAAAATGCTCTGGATGCCGTTGTTTCACTGCTAAGATGAGCAAATTTTTGGGAAAATTTAGCGCTGTAGTTTTTTGCTGTCAATAATGA